AGAAAGGGAGAAATCTCCTCCCAGGGGAAATTACCATGCCGCAATCCTTTCTCCTCCATTTTCCTCTCAGGATTTTGGGCACACATACACATGTGCCTGATGTGTTTTAAGCTGTTGGGTCTGGGACTTGAACTGTGATCGACTACATGGAAGTCCAACAACATAACCACTACACCAATCTACTGGTCCTGGAACATGGTTAATTCTAATCTATACTGTCTGATGATCATCTCCTTGCTTGTAAGTGTCATGATTCACTTGTTTCTTATGGCTTTTTGAGTTCACTGATTCAGTGTTTTGTGGTCGTCATCTTTATGCAGTTGTGAGGCCGATAGTACAGCCTGAGCATCTTAATAGAAGGCTAGTACCTTTTGGGAGAGATGTCAGACATGGCTCAGGAGTAGTTTGTGTTCTCAGCCACACAGGTGGTTACCCTTAGCCTTCACATATGGTCATTTCCTACCCTCAGTGCTCCCAAGGAAATCTCTTGACTGTGTATTTATTTATTGCAGCTCTGAATACGTTTCCCCAGACCTGATAGAACTTGAGCTAAAGGATGGGAATAGAATTCTGCTCTCATAGGTTTTTTGTTTTGTTTTTAACTCTATCAATATTTTATTGATAGTTTACATTTGACAAAATAAACACTGTTTTTAGTTTGATGAGTTAGGATTATTCTATACATTCCTGTAACCACCATTTAAAGCAAGTTACAAAACATTTTTATAAGCTCAGGAAATCTTTCTTGTCCCTCTGTGGTCAATTTCTACACCCTCCACATCTCTCCCAGATTTCTGTCGACATAGATTAGTTTTTCTGTTCTTGGACTCTGTATACATGGAATCAATAAAGTACTTATTTTTTTGTGACTAGATTATTTTGTTCAACATATTTTTGAGACACATGCATGTTTCAGTTCCACCCTTTCTTCTCTCCCTTTATAAAAATAATTAATTAATCAATTAATTTTTATTATTTATTTTGTAATGTGACCAGAGAGAGCTTGGAGCGGGTGGGAGTGAGAAAGCTGGCTGCCAGGTCTGGAACTTGAACTGTTTTTGCATGGTTATCGGCCATTCAGATATTTTCTTATGTGGACTATTGATTGGATCAGAGTTCTTGCTACTTTTTTTAAGTTTATTTTTTTAAACAGTTTGCCAGTTTGCTTAAGGGTCCAACTGATATGCTTAGTGCAGACAGACAATGAGGGATGGCGGAGTGAGAAAGTACCACTCAGGGGTCATGATCAAGCCAAAATAATTCTTCCTCCATCTCTCTCGATGTTAGGATTTTGGGCATGCACTCACATGTGTCCAGTGATTTTTTTTTTAAAGCCACTGGGTCTGAAACTCAAACCACACAGTTGACACAGTTGTACTCCTTTAGTTACTTTATTCCTGAGTATTGATGTTTTCCAATTATTGGGTTATCTGAAAAGTCATGATTTTTTTTTTATTTATTTTTATTTATTTATTTTTTTATTTTTTGGTGCAAAAATGTGTCGTGACTTTTCCAACAACTCAATGTCCTGTTGGGATTGTTTTTTAATATTTTGCAGTTGTTTTGTTTCTTTTGTGTAGAAATACAGTTGATTTGTATGTATTAACATATGCATTATTGATAAATTGATAAATTTACTTCGCATTTCCTGTCATTTTGGGGTATTCTATTTTTATTGATTTCTAGTCTTATCTTTTCCAGTTATATTTAAAAAATTTACCCACCTTTCTCTAACCTCTTTTTCTTCTTAATTGTCAGAGAGAACGTGCACTTGCCAGAAAGAGAGAAAGCCCTTCTAAGTGGGTGTGGTCACACCACAATCTCTGTTCCTTCATTTTGCCATCCTGCGAGGTTTGGGGACATGTAAACACCTGTATGTAGTGTGTTTTCAATTTACTGGGGCTGAGAATGAAACCATAGTTGACTTGTGGGGTCTAGTTCCATATGTACGGTGTTTAATGGCCATGCTACAGGGCTAGGCTTCTCTGGCTTTTAAAATGGAATGTTTGATCACTCCTTTCACTTTTTTCCTATTATGGATATTTATTTATTTTTTAGAATTCTTTTTATTTAACCTTATTTTTCCATTTATCTATTTATTCATTTCAATTTGACCAGAGAGGGAAAGTAATAAAGCAAGGTCCCAGGTCTGGGACTTGAACCATGGTTGCCCATGTGGGAGTCCAGTGCCCTTAACCACCATGCCACATGCTGGCCCCCTAATATGGGTATTTAAAGCTATGAATTTTTCTGTAAAATATTGTTTCTGTGCATTCACAGATTTTGGTATGTTGTATTTTCATCTTCTTCAGAATATTCTTATCTTGTATTCACATATTAATCTTTTTAAGTGCTTTTTATTCCTTTTTGAAGTCTGGGTATATATCTGGTTATCATTTCCCTGTAGCCTGCAGATCTTTTCTTTTTTTTTTTTTTTTGAGAGGTTGTTTTTTTGTTTTTTGTTTTTTTTTGTTTGTTTGTTTTTCTTTGTTTTTTTTTTTTTTTTTTTTTTTTATGGGGGTTTGCCTTTCCAATAGGGCGCTTGCACTTGCCAGACAGACAGAGAGAGACAAAAAGCAAGAAATCACTCCCCAGGCGGGGATGGCCACTCCGCAATCCCTTCTCCTCCATTCTCCTCTCGGGATCTTGGGCACACACACACGCGTGCCCGGCGTGAGTTTAAGCCACCGGGTCCAGGACTCGAACCGCGATCAACTACATGGGAGTCCAGCGACATAGCCCTTACACTAACTGCTGGTTCCTAGTTTTCTGTTTTCTTTCAGTAGTGTAAATACCTCACTTCTTTGTCATCTTCCAATTTGTTCCTGGTGACAAATCAGCCATCGTCATTCTTATGCTCATTGCCCTACACATTATGTGTCTTTTTTCACAGCTGTTTTCTTTTTTAAAGACTTCCTCTTGGCCTCTGAATTTTAGCTGTCTCTAGTATCCTCCTTGAGGTTTATGCCTTTATGCCATTCTTTAACATATGAGTTGATGTTTGTTTTCAGTTTGAGAAAGTTGTGGGCTTTTATGCCTTTGTGTATTTCATTTCCAAGCTTCTTCTTTTTTCCCTTTCTTTCTCCTCTGTCACTCTAGTTATATGTTTGGTATAACTCTACAGATCCAGAATATTTCACTCCATATTCTTCTGTCTTTTCTATTTTTGCCTTTCACTTTGGATAGCTTTTATTGGTAAATCTTCACAACTATTCATCATTCCTATGGTGTCATGGTCACATGTAACCAACTGGCTGACCTATCGCTGATGCCAAATTGGCATTGAGGTTTAGGAGTTTACATTTGAAGCTCCTTCTACGTCTGTCTCTTTGCTTGTACTCATCTAATATTTGAAGGTAAAGAGCGTGATTTGATAGGAATCACCATTTTGTGTCTTAGTATTTTCAGAGGTCTGTATAACCTGTTGAAAATTCTAGTGCCTCCCCAAGAATCCTGTGTTAGCCAGCATCCGTATGGCAGTCGTTTCATTGAGAGTGAAGTGTTTTTCTCTCCTATGTATCCAGAACAAATAGGTAGAAAACTTTCTCCTATACCCACCTCCATAAAGAGCTGACCGATCGAAAATTAGGCATCAATTTTTTTTTTCCCTCTCCAAATCTTGCCGTGTTTTCTTGCCATAAAGTGAATCTTGCTTTTTTTTATTGGGCTTATGTCATATCTTCTGCAAAATCAGTAATAGTTTAAGGCACTCTGGATGATTCGCACTTACCACAACTTGGAACAGAATTCTGAGAGTAACTGACAGCAGAATTAAAGGCTTTCCAGTTCCTCCAAGGTGTTAACAATCTTAATGATCCTCATTTTATTTTGTAATACTGTAAACAAACAACGAAAGTGCTTTCTGTTGATTCTATGACCCTGTGATTGAATACATACTTTACTCTGTGCCTAATACAAATATGAGAGAAAGAGTTCAAATAAGGAGTAGAGTGAGCCAAAATATGGATGACATATTTATTTGCATAAAATAAGAATACATTTTTACTGCTGTTTATAAAAAACATGTTTTCTGGCACAAGCTTCAGAGAGACTAGCAGGAATAAAATCCTGTGGAATTAAGTCTAAAGTGAATTGTGGGTGAATACCTCGGAATTCCTATAGGAGTGTAAGATGCTTGATAATTTAATGCCAAGAAGGCAAAGAGGTCCTCATGTGTAAATGTGTGTGTTTGTGAAAGAATAGGTGAAAATTTGTAATGTTAGGATATAGTGTTAATTCTAGATGCAGAGTCTTCCTGAGGAAATTTTATGTTCATATCCCATTCATATAGAGACATTGAACGTGTAAAATACTCAACCTTGTGTTGTCTTCTGAGATTTTATATATTTATCAGAATGGAATTTGGCTCTTTATTTATTTATTTATGGCAAATCATTTTGCTTTCTGGCATTGGAAGTCATCCTTCTTAAATTCTGTTTTTTTTTTTTTTTTACATAAATCATAATTCTTAAGTCTGCACATGTTAGTGTCAGAAGAAAGTTGTTACAAGTGTTTTATTTTAAGACTGTTTAAGTCTGGATTGTGAGCTGAGTAGGGTATTCTCTGGTTAGCTAAGATTCTAATACGAGTCACCTCATGATACAACCACAAGAAGCCCAGTACAACTGGAGAATGTAGAGAAAGAGAAAATATGTGAAATAGGAGTATATTCCAGGAAGTCTTTCAGAGACACGAATAGAACAAAATAACCCACTAAAGTCTATTTTTTTAAAAAGTTTTTTATTTACTGAGAGACACATGCACACACGTAGATAGACAACTTTGCCTCAGTCTTTCTCCAGCCAGCTAGGACTACGGAGTTCTGTGGACCTGTTCTCAGCATGTCCCTATCAAACCAGGGTATAAACCCTGGGCATTCCCATGTGGTTTCACTTTCACACAGTGGTGTCCCACCAGCTGCACTGCCCTAGCTGGGCCTAAAGTCTGTTTTGGAACAGAACTTCTGACAAATAGGCCCATGTCTGTTCTCGCTGTTTCAGACATTCCTGCAAGTGGTTGGTGTGGTTGCTGTGGCGGCAGCGGTCATCCCTTGGATCATAATACCCTTGGTCCCACTGGGCATCATGTTCTTTGTTCTTCGGCGGTATTTCCTAGAGACATCGAGAGACGTCAAACGCCTGGAATCTACAAGTGAGTACCAAGGCTCTCAGGTGGCCGTGGAAGCTGGCTAACCTCTGCTGATGACTGACTAGGGAGACCTCTGAAAGTCTGCAGACTCTATGCATTGGAGTTTGTCACGAAATTAACACCATCACAAGTCATGGTGGGTCTTAGGGCTCCCTGTCTGCCAGGTGCAACTTTACAAGGTAGCAGGAATAAAGAGTGAAGGTCACGTGTAGAAAAATACTCCACTGAATGTAAACACCACCAAGTCAGGGGCCGTTTCTGTCTCATTCATGACCTATTGCTTACTCAGAGAAGGCACACAATTTACAGTTTTAAGAGAAAATCTTTCACGTTGCAACTAATATAGGAAAATAATCAGGGTATTTTTCTTACCCTCAAGATTCTTGAAGTGGTAAGTAAAGAAAAAGATAGAGAAAGGAAAGGAGCTATCAGAAATACACCCATAAGGGGACTCTCAGATGGCATAGCAGTTATGTCACTGGACTCCCATCTAGTTGACAGCCGTTTGAGTCACGGACCCAGCAGCTTAAAATTCATGCTGGGTGCATGTGCGTGTGTGCCCAAGATCGCATGAGTAGACTGGAGGAGAACAAACTGTGGTGTGGCTATCGCCCCCGGTGAGGGTAATTTCTTACTTTCTGGCTCTCTGGTGAGTGTACATGGCCTATAGCAAAAATGTCTCCCATGGAAATATACCCGTATGTCTGAAGTAATACATTTGAAAGGTGGATTACTTGTGCATATTCAAAAAATGGCTAAGTTGCTGTTGCTAAGTATTTCGCAAAGGTAAGCATTACTATTTTCAGTTTTGTTCTTTATTATCACTGGTCCTTTGTGTAATCCCACACTGTTTAAGTGACCCTGGAAATAATCCCCTTAGGAGATTAACACACAAACAGGGATCCATTTAAAATGTGGGTAGTCTATTGCTCTATTCTACTTCCTAGTTTTGGAATAATGGGGAAAACATTTAATAGTGGTCATGAAATCACAGAGAATGAAATAATCCAGAGCTCATCCCATTATGAGTGCACAAAGTCACACATGTTAATATTAAACTGAAAAATCATAAGAATGGAAAGGCATAAGGACAGTGGCCCAAACTTGTAAAGCAGTAAGATATTTGTATCAGATAACCTGCTAAGGAAAGGTACTGCAAATGAACGCTAGCTCCACTTTCTGGAAGCCAAGCCAAGCAGACACATATTGTGTCCTAGAGGTCTTAGCAGCTTCCAAACAGAAACTCGAATTTCTTAAGGGTAAAGAAATTGTATTTTGTTCTGTCACACATGTATTTCTTTTTTAATAATAAACTCTTAAAGAGGCATTTCTCCAAGTGCCCACATATGGAAATGTGGATGACAGTTTCATAAAGATTGTAGAAAGATGTTCTCCCATCCATACAAGCAGGTCAGCTGCCCTGGGTCTCGTCCTATAGGCACTCCAGTGGGAAGAAACAGCAGTGTAGTCCATGTGTGGGTGATGGGCATAGGACTGTCCCAGTGAAGGGACTTAAAACAACTGGAAGATCTTTTTATCTGGAGATTTGGACACGTTTGTCATGACTTCAATGGAATGTATGGGTTTTCCTACGCTCGATAGACTCAGACAAAAAGTCTCAATGTGTGCTTCTCCATAGCCCCAGCTGACCAAATATGGTGGCCAGTTGTTCAATGTTATCCATCATGGTGGTGGTCCAGTGCCATAAATAATAATTCCTCTGTTTTTTTTTTTTTTTTTCTTATTTTAAAAACAGTTTATTTTCCAGAGAGGCAGGGAGCCAGAGAGACAGGAAAAGGAAGACAGACTTCTTGATGCTAGGATCTACCCCTCACCATCAGTCAGCCCAGATCATGAGCAAACATGTGCCCAACATAACTCAGGGAGGTTTCAGGGCTTGAACTGAGAGCCTTTCCATGGGGGGCTGCCTCACAGAAGACTGCATTTTACCATCGTGCCATCGTCTGGCTCCTCTACTGTTTTGTCTAAGCAGCAACTTAGAGTGTTTTTTGAGGCCCCTGTTGGATTCACCTGAGCATATAAAAAGGGCAAGTAGGAATAAGCATACATCAGCCCTGTGCTTTGGAGGAGTACTAAAGTCCCAGTATTTATGAGGGGACTTTTAGAAGTTTGTGGAAAATGGAATTGAAGTATGAGTTTATTGGATGCAAAAAAAAAAAAAAAAACAAACAATTTTCAAGGCTATGCGTAGCTTTTTCATTGTACACATTTTCCATGAACCTTTTGAAGTCCTCCTCCTGTCTTCAGGACATAATATCTTAACTGCCTTGGAACCATAAGCTAACATTTAAGCAGCCTTAATGACAAATCTGCCATTTATGGTTTTTACTTTTGCAAAAGTGAGCACATCAACTGTCAGTCATAGAGCAGTGCATACAACCAGAGACGCAAAAAATAAATGAATAAAACCGAGTGGCCTTTGTTTGCATTTCTGCAGCTATTTATTCCACACTGCCTGGGCGGTGAAGCCACACCCAGGTTCTGTTGGTATATTCTCTTGCTGCGATCCACAAGCAGTGTCGGCCCCGGGTATTGGCGGAGAGTGTTACCCCAGGTTCCATGTGATTTCAGACCATTGATCCTCAAGTGTGATGTTTTAAAGAGTTCTCTTGCCAGATTCCAAGGGAGTTTGTTCAATTTAAAGTGCTAAATGAGAGGCACAGTAAAGGGAGTGTAATTTGAGTATTAGCTAGGTAAAGTGTTGGGGTTTTCCAAATGTAGGCTACAGAGTCTGGAGAAAAATGCGCTCAGTGACACAATCTTTTTTTTTTTTTGGAGAGGTTTTTGCTGTAGGGCGTGTGCACTCTCCAGACAGACAGAGAGAAACAGAGAGACAGAAAGCGAGAAATCACCCCCCCCCCAGGGGGGATGGCCAGCCACAATCCCTTCTCCTCCATTCTCCTCTCGGGATCCTAGGCACTCATGCACACGCGCCTGGCGTGAGTTTAAACCACTGGGTCCGGAACTCGAACCGTGGTCAACTACGTGGGAGTCCAGTGACATAGCCATTATGCTAACTGCTGTTCTCCTGTGACAGTCTTTAACTATCATTTTTTTCCCTTTGAGATACTAGCTCAGATTGAAAGCACAGCCTTGGGAATAAGACGCAGCTGTGTCTTAGACCCAACTCTACCACTTACTTGGACTAACTTAATCTTGGGTGGGGTCTTAATACCTCTGGTCTGTTTTTCTCTCTGTCAAGGATATAATAATACTTGGTCTATTAGGTTCTCACAAGGATTGGTTGAGATGATGCTAGAAAACACTTGCTGGCCCCTGCCATAGGCACTGGAACCTTCAACATAAGGGAATTAAAACTGTAATAATAATCCCAAGGTCTCACATAGCACTATTAATAACCTGGGGCAAGACTCTCACACCAGGATCTTTGCTTTTTTCTGCTCTGCTCTTCCAAGAGAAGATATACAGTCCTTACAGGGTATGTCCCAATAATCCCAGGGTCGTAAATCACAGCTGTCCATCTTATGAAAGAAAGCTTTTATCTATCTAGAGATGCTGACTAAAGCCATTGGTGTTAAATTAGTCTGCTTCAGGATAGGCAACCGAGTCCAGATAATAGAGCTTTGGTATGTGGTCTCCCTTGTTATTATTAATATTGAAATTTAACTGTCTCCACAGTCCTTCCAGTTTACCCTACTGGCATTTCATTCAGCCCTCAGTGGGGCACAGAAGAAACAGGGTTATCTTTTCAGAGGTACAGATTCCTGCCATACTTTGGTAGTTATCGAGAAGAGTAGAGTGGGTTACTTGGCCTGTGGGTTCCTGGTGTTTAAAGCTTGAATGACACCTGAATCCTAAGTCCAGCCCACCCTAGAGTCTAGCTGGAGATCAACAGTGGCATCTTCGATGTCCACATAAGGATGGTCAAGATGAAGTACTTTTTCCAAGGACTTTGACTGACTGACCACCACACCTACCACCTTCTCCGTAGCATTGTCTATGAAATAATGGTCATGTTACAACACCGCCTTATTCTAGACACTGGAGAGTTCTCTGGGCTATCTTCTGCTAGACTCTTGATACCCCTTTAGTAGCGTAATGGGGCCTGGAATTCTCTGTGTCTTCCTGGGACATTTTGTTTCTAGATTTTCTGAGTACTGGGGGCAGATTAGAATGTCTGCTGGGTGCACACATAAGGCCTCAGCTGAGCTTCCAGCCCTTCCTCTTTGGAGCATGATGTGAGCCCTTGTATGTGCTTATTTCCATCATAAAAATACAAAGTTATAGGAAGCTAAAATATAATCACACTAGCCTAGTGGTTATGGGAGCTGAATCCCACATGACTAACTGCAGTTCAAATCCCAGCCCCAGCAGCTTGAAAAAAATGCCAGGTGCATGTGTACATGTGCCCCAGATCTTAACCAGATGGGGAAATGAGAAGAAGGGACTGCATTGTAATCATGCCCCATCGAGGGATGTTTTCTCCCTCTCCCTCTCTGTCTATCTCTCTTTGGCAAGCGCACGTATCCTCTGACAATGAAAAAAATAAACAAAGAAAGGAAGCTAAAGTAACTCTGCACAGGTTGCTCGGTGTATTGATGGGAGACAGTAGCGCGAAGCCAGAGTTAGACCACATGCATACACCGGGGTGGCTAGGACCACCACAGAGCTGCTTAAAGCTTTTTGCCCAAACTAGAGGTAAGAGGAAGTGTTACTTCATTCCCTGGTTGGAAAATGTGTATTTAGAGATGGTTTAGATTCACAATATCCCTGGAGAGGGCCCCTCAGAGTTAGTGTTCCCATTAGATATCCTAATCAGAAAGAGCCTTAAGAAGAAGTCAGTGGACCAGAGATTGGGTTCCCCTTCTGGCCTGGGACATCCCACCTCTCTGAAGCCCAGGGTCTCCTGCTGGGAACTGCTCCCTCCTTGCCATGGTACTGTGGCTTCTGACTTCCAAGGAGGCTGCATCTCGGCACACTTGTCTTCCGTCTGAACAGGTGCACTGCCCTCTCTGAGGGGTACCAGGATGATGGGCTCAGGAGTCAGCCCTAGAAAAGCCTCCCTTCATTCTGTCCCCTGGCCCCCCGACCCTGCAACCATCATTCTATAAAATATACGCAGCCTTCAATCAAAGAAATTAAGTGTGATGTGGTGGTTAAAGTGGCTGAACTAACTAGCCAGCTGTATGGTTTGAGTCCCAGAATCAGCAGCTTGAGAAATGTACCTAGCGCATGTATGTGCATGCCCAAAATCCCAAAAAGGAGGCGAATTTGAGTAAAAGAGATTTCAGCATGACCACGCCCCATGGATTTGCTTTCTCATTTTCCCTTTCTTGCTCTGTCTGTCTCCGGGGCACATAAGCACCCTCTGGAAACATTTTTAAATATATGTGATCTTCTCCCAAATATATCTCTTCTCTAAGAGATGCACAGATCACGTGATATGAAAGTATTTCCTGCTTATAAAGCACAAGTTATTCATCCTAGGCCAGAATATTAAAGACAGGGTGCTAGGTCACATGCTCGCTGTGCGCCCTAACCCAGCACTTCCTTGTTTACAGTGGAGAATGGAAACTGGGGGGTGGGGTGGGGGGAGAAGCTTCCCTGGCTGGCAGCAGACAGCCCCGTATTCCCCAGGTGCAGGAGCTAGGCCCTGTGGTCGTAGTATAGTGCGCTGGAAACAGATGGCCTATCACGGAACATCAGTTCCAACCCAAAGTGAAGTACACAAGGGAGAATGAACTGTCCCAGCCATGGTGGCTCATAGGTAGTGTGGGAGGCTGGAAGCCGCATGGGACGCTCGGCTTTGTTTACTGGGCCAATCTGAACATGGTTCTTGTACATTCTTGCAATCCTAGCAAATATAGAGACCAGAGCAGAAAGATGTGGTATAATGAGACCCTGACAAAAAGTAACTCTGTCACTGCCCTTCTTTAAAATAAAGATAAAGAAAGAGGGGGGAGACAGAGAGAGAATTAAGTTTTTCCAATGCTTTAAAGTTGACAGAGTCACCAAGACCACAGTTTAACTCTAAAAAGGGCAGTGGCACATGCCACAGTGGCCTTCAGACATCAGGATGAGTTTCCAGCAGGGCAGTTATGAAAACACCCATGAGGGAGCCAGCAGGTGGTGTGGTGGTTAAGGGGCTGGATTTCCACATGGCTGACCACAGTTTGAGTCCAGGACCCAGCAGTTTGAGAATCACACCGTGTGTGCGTGCGTGTGTGTGTGTGTGTGTGTGTGTGTGTGTGTGTAAAGAATCTCAAGACAAGAATGTAGTGTGGTCATCCCCCTTGGGGAGGGAAGGTGATTTCTTACTCTTTCTCTCTGTCTCTCTCTGGCAAGTGCATGGTCCCTGTGGCAAAAACCTTAAAAATGAAATAAATATTGATAATCCACAAGGCTCCTGGAGCTGAAGTCAAGACCATTCAAAGTTTTCTTGGCTAGGCAGCTCGCATATACCCAGGGACAGCATGACACCTAGGAGCATGGTGACCATAAAGGAGTCTTTCTGCACAGTTAGATCCTCCAGCATACAGTGAGGTGCCAGTCTATCCACTCAGCTGACTTATCAGGAATGTCCTCTGCTAGGCACTAGTCTCGTTACTGGAATACGATGTCTGTATCCTGGCCCCAGAGTCATTAGTAATGGATGGTGAGGGACAGACAGAGGAGCAGCTATGTCCAGTTCATCGTTGGAGTGCTCCATCAGAGTTCCCTTTTTAAATATGCTCTTGGTTCAAAAGTCATTAAAAAACAATTTCTACCTCAAGAGATGTCAGAGAAGAGTATGGAGGGGAGGACCTTTGCGGGATGAGATAACAAAAGTAAATCATAAGTAGGATTGAGTTTGGCCAAAGTCAAGATCCAAGCAGATCCTCAGAGTTAGCTGGGTTTGACTGGAGGTTAAGGGTGGACATGCAGAGTCCTTCCCAGACCATCTGGGTGGACCATTTCCTCCCTAGCATCTGCATGTTTACTGACCACATGCTGTTTAGTGACCAGAGAGCAAGAGAGGCAGCTGGTTTGCTTGCATCCAACATCACTAAATGTTTTGCTTTTTGTCTGTCTCTATTTATCCAGCGCGAAGTCCAGTATTTTCCCACCTATCATCTTCGCTCCAGGGACTTTGGACCATCCGAGCTTACAAAGCTGAGGAGAGGTTTCAGGAACTGTTTGATGCCCACCAGGATTTACATTCAGGTCTGTGCATTTCTGGAATGGTGTGGAAGGGGCGATCTGCCCTTGCTCAGGCTTGACCTCCCTCGCCAGATGACCCTGTAGCCAGCACCTCTCCCTTCCTTCCTGTGGGCCCAGCCCATGCCCTGCTGTCACATTTCTTCCTCTCCTTTCCTTTCCTCTTGGCTTGTAAACCCTTTCAGAATCCCCTCTGTACTCCCTCTGCCCCACCTATACACACACACACACACTCACACATGGGCACACACATGCACCAGGGTCCGCAAGCTTTCTGTGCAAAGGCCACCTAGTACATGCTTAGGCCTTGTATGTGCCATGTGGTCTCTGCTGCAACTTCTCACCTTTGCTATTGTAGCAGGAATACGGGCTTACATAGCGTAAAGTGCCGTGGCTGTGTGTCAATAAAACTTTATTTACAAAAACAGTTGAGGGCTGTTCATGACCCATGGGTCTAGTTGGCCGACCCTTCTTGCTTCTGAGCATCCAGGGTGAACAAGTCACAGAACAAGTCAATTTCTTGATTATCAGATTTGCCACCCATATAATGTGCTTTGTTCTTTGTATCAGTGAAGCGTTTCATTTGAAGTTACAGAATTTACTCTAAATCTACAAAACTCTGGCATGTCTTTCCCACCTTTATTGTATTTTAATAATTAAGCAGCATTTTTAAGAACCTCATGCAGGAGGCCAGCAGGTGGGTTAGTGGTTAAGGTGCTGGTCTCCCATGTGGCCAACCATAGCATAAGCCCTGGATCCGGCAGCTTGAAACACTCTGGGCACATGCACATGCATGCCCAAAATCCTGAGAGAAGGGACCGATTCTTTTAATTTCTCTCTTTTTGTCTCTGTCTCTCCACTGAGCATGTACTCTATAGCAAAAACCCCTCCCCTCCCCCCCAAAAAAAAAAACAAAAACCCTCATGCAAATCCTTTTAGTGAAGTGGTCATTTAGATACGGTCCCCTAATCCATATCCACAGTTCACAGGGCTCTTGGCTAAGTACAAAAGGTGCTGGAAATAAATTAGGAGCTGCATTTCTGTTGTCAGAGAACTGGGGACAGTCAACCACGTGAGCAGCTTCAGGTCCAGCTCTGCAGAGAGAAAATGCACTTTCGAGGCCAGTTTTCTGTCTTCTTTAATATGACCATAATTCTGTTTCTAACCTTCGGTTGCATGTTTCACTGCCGCCTGCCCCTGTGTGTACCTCATTGTTCTGTATTCAGCCCTGGACTCTTCAGATTCCTTGGCTGTGCGATTTTGCTGTCCTATTCTGTGTAAAAATCTGTAGCTCAGAGAAACACTTCTCTCCTGCTCAATGCAATTAACATGGCTTTTGTACTTATTCATCATCCCGGTTATGGTGCTCAAATCCAGAGGCTTGGTTCTTGTTTTTGACAACGTCCCGATGGTTCGCCGTGCGTCTGGATGCCATCTGTGCTATCTTTGTCATCGTTGTTGCCTTTGGGTCCCTGATTCTGGCAAAAAGTAAGTACAGATGTGAATAAGTATTCATGGTATGAATGTAATTTATAGCTGTGTTTACAATTATTAAATTAAACTCTTGCCACCTTGTCTAATATTATACACTGTTTGGTTCTAATGAAGTATATTCAAGCATTACAGTGTGTCAAGTTGGATTGGCTTAGCAGCGTAACCCATTTAGAGGAATCATTTGGGCCTCAGCGGACTCTTCTGATCTTTCAGTCGGTCGGGGTCTGCACAAATAACATTCTGAGCATTCTCAGTAGTGTCTTGTGGTTGCGATGAGAGAACCAAGTTTACTAGTAAGCATCGTTTAGTCCAGCCTAGGGCAGTAGCTTTCAGCTTTCAGACTCTTTGAATCTCTTAGTTGTGGTTATCTCTGCACTAGATTGAGAAAGATTCCAACAGGGAAGATTATTATCATTCTTGCCAAAGGGTACCAGACTAACAGGTGTTGGCAAGCATGGTGTGAATTCACCATTCTTAACTCTGAGTTACAGTAGTTAATAAGGGGTGAACAGGGGCCAGCAGATGGCATGGTGGTTAAGAGCACTGGATTCCCACCTGGCTGACCATGATTTGACTCCCAACCTGAATGCTTTCTTTCTCACTTTCTCTCTCTCTCTTGCTCGCTCTGTGTCTCTCTTGTTAAAGTATGTATGCATGTATGTATGCATGTTTCTATGTATAAATAAATAAATAACATTAAATAAAATAATTCTTTAAAAAATATAATGGGATGAGAAATAGTACTTCAGTCTCAAAGTCCTGGCTCTTCGAACCTGTCTTCTCATCTTTAGCCGTTTCCGATTGTAGCTGCTCTGGACCTAGAAAGTGGAATTATATTGATTTGTCAGAGAAGTCATCACTCATTTTTGCATAGAAACAATACGTTCTGACTTTTCCGACAACACAATATAATTAATAGGCTTTGAAACCATAATGATGCATATTCAAATAATGACATCATTCCTCCCATATAACCACTTTTCAAATGTAAGTTGATCCTGGTGGGATTAATAAACTCCTTTAATTATCATTCTGAATCCATAATTTTTTTATGTCATGATCTTATTCAAAAGATGGTAAATATAGAACCTTTAATATCATTATGTGCAAATTGTTTAAATGTCATGATGGGATCCTCTTGGCATCGTGACAGAGGAGCCCGGCATAGGTGTGAAAGGAAACTGACATCGCCTTCCTTCTCCTCATTTAGCTTTGGACGCCGGACAGGTGGGCTTGGCGTTATCCTACGCACTGACGCTCATGGGCATGTTCCAGTGGTCCGTTAGACAGAGCGCCGAAGTCGAGAATATGGTAATGTTTATCTTAATGTTCTTAGCTTTTTAAAAGTCTCCTCACCATTAAATGGCATAAAAGCAATTCTTATGGAAAATGGTAAAACTGTTATTTTTACATCCTAGCTAACAGAGTTTTTTAAGATCCTTCCTCCATCTGTTTAAAGTTAATGTAAAGTAAAATATATACATCTTTTTCTCAGTCTTATGTATGCCGTGTCAGCAGGTTTTGTATTCATCAGAAGCTGTCTTCAAATGTAATACATGTCTCTGTAGGAGGGAGCTTCTGAAATACTAGAGAGGATATAAACTAATTTTTTAGAGGCCTGTTTATTTTTGTTTCTTAATGGTTAATTCCTCATTGATGGTAAAAGAAGAATTTAGTATTTTGAGGTAGGTTGTTTGTTGAATTAATAGATCTCCCCCCATCCCCACTCCCAATTTTAGGATTCATTCTCTCTTTTTTTTTTGGAGAGATTTTTGCTATAGGGCGCGTGCGCTCACCAGACAGACAGAGAGAGACAGACAGAAAGCGAGAAATCACCCCCCAGGGAGGATGGTCATGCCGCAATCCCTTCTCCTCCATTCTCCTCTCGGGATCTTGGGCACGCACGCACATGCGCCCGGCGTGAGTTTTAAGCCCCGGGTCCGGGACACGAACTGCGGTTGACTACATGGGAGTCCAGCGACATAGACATTAGGCTAACTGCTGGTTCCCAGGATTCATTCTCTTGTGTGTTGAATTTGCTGGTGTTCCTTCCTGCTAGGGTAAGCCCTTTCTTGGAATGTGGTAGTCAAAGGTATCAGGTTCTGCTTGTTTAAGAGGGATTAAATAATATATGAATTATTTCCTTTTAAAAAATATTTGCACTTTCTCTTAAAAGAAAAAAAACAATGAACAAAACCTTTTAATTTTGCTCTTTTCATAGAACGGAAGATGACCCAATGCAGTGAGGTTAATCACTGTGTAAGGGCCTATAGCAGATTATTGATGAGCAGACATAAGTATTCTTTTCCTTTGCAAAATTCTCTTCCTCTTTACCTACATGGGAAAAGACAAATACATATAATATTAGCATTCATTTCTCTAATTCTTTTAGTATAATGTTGAAGGAAGTAGCGTAAACAGAGGACTTAGTTGCATGGTGAACAGGTTGATGTGGTAAGTCATCAAAAGTCCTCAACAGTCTCCTGCTTCTCTCCTGTGAGTGAGACCCTCCTTGGTTTTTTTAGAGAGATTTTTGCTATAGAACATGTGCACTCACCAGCGAGGCAGAAGACGAGAAATCACCCTCTCCCCCCCTGCCAACCCCACCCCCAGTGGGGATGGCCACACCACAATCTCTTCTCCAATCTCCTCTCAGGATTTTGGGTACACATGCACACCGTCTGGCATGAGTTTGAAGCCACCAGGTCCGGGACTCAGACTGTGGTCGACCATGTGGGAGGCAGGGATGTAACCATTATGCCATCTGCTGGCCCCAAGACCCTCTCTTTTTAACCTATGTGAATGCCCCATCTCTTTTAGATGATTTCAGTCGAAAGGGTGATTGAATATACAAACCTGGAAAAAGAAGCACCTTGGGAATACCAGAAACGCCCGCCGCCAGCCTGGCCCCAGGAAGGCGTGATCGTCTTTGATAATGTGAACTTCATGTACAGTTTAGATGGTCCTCTGGTACTGAAACACCTGACAGCACTCATTAAGTCAAGAGAAAAGGTTGGTTTAAGCCCTTTTGCTTCTTTAAAACTAAAGCTAAAGATCTAGTGCTGCATCTACTCATTGGCTTCCTCATGGATGTGTCAAGGGGACTTCTTGTTCCTCTGTGGATGCAGATTAGATCGGCAATGGTGTTGGCGAATCTTTCTTGGAAACTGCCCAGAAAGTGGATTCCAACATTTCTTTCTTCATGCTGTGAGCTACTTACTGGTGGTTTATGATCCCTGGGCCCCAGGGCTGGAACGTAACCTGATCCAGGAGACTGCGTTCGACATCTTACTATTCATACCCACATCTAGGAAGTCAACTCTGGTTCCCCATAACCCCGGCTCCTCTATCTCGTTCCTGTGGATTCTCCTTCCCTCACTCCCTATTATTTATCGAAATCTCTTCCTCCCCGTGCTGCTGCTTGTCTACCAGCGATAGCCGCCTTCGCCTTCCTCCTCCTGCTCCTCTTCCTCCACATGTTGACCCTTTCCATCGTCTTCCTTGCCTCCTTCCAGTCTGTCCTTCACTTTGGCTCCCCTGCCTCTCCTCCACCCTCTACAGACTGCTTTTTCTGAAACACAGTTCCCATCCTCACTTGGCTCCTCGCTAGCTCCTGGCCCGGGCAAGCTGCTGCTGCATCTGTGGCCAGGCCCCAGCCTGCTCCAGCAGGTGGTGTGTGGCAGCCTCTCAGCTGCCAGGGAAGAGCCTGGAATCAAAACCCATCAGGTCGGAAGCTGGATGCAATGAAAGGGCCCAGAAACTTAATCAAAGTCAATGAAAGGGAAACCAATGGGTCTTGAGAAACAGTGGAGAGGCTTGTGGGCGAATTCTACCAAGCATCAGTGTCCGCCAGCAGTGTCTCCTGCACACCTGGCCTGTGACCTCCTGCCAGGGCTAGGGCAAGCTCTTGGATGGAGTAAACCAGAACAAACCAAACTAATGACGCTCTCCCTGACCTGCACCTTCAGTCTTGGCTCCCAACATGGACATGTACCCCCTACATGCAGGTCGCTCCCCATCCTCCCAGGGCATGTGCCCCCCTCCCCCCTTTCAGCATGCACCTATGACCCCTCCACCTCAGATGCCCTTCTCTGTCATCAGCTGGCTGGTAAAAGTCTCAATTTTATAATCAGTTCAAACATCTCTTTCTCTGCAAATCTCTCTATATTTCTATATCCTCTTATAGATTATTTTAAGATAGCATTTTTGGATACACCCAAATTTATAACAGCATTATTCCCAGTAGCCAAAGGTGGATATAAGTGTCCGCCTGTGAACTCCTGGATAACAAAATGCAGCATCTTCTTACGAAAGCATGGTATTTACCCTCAAAATGGAGGGAAATCCTGACTCCTGCTGTAGCCTGGTGAGACTTGAGGGCATTATGCGGAGTGAGATACGCCAGACACTAAAGGATTATACTCTGATTCATTCTCCTTTTATGAAGTACCTAGAATGGTCAAATTTTACAGACAAATAGACTAGAGGTTTCCAGCTGTTGGGAGATGGGGAGAACGGGGAGCTGTTTAATGGGTACAGAGTTTCAGTTTTACAAGATGAAAGGAGTTCTGGAGAGGGATGGTGGAGAGAATGAGTAATTCAGTAGAGTGAATATAATTAATACCTCTGAGCTGTCCAGTTAAAATGGTAGAGGTGATAGATTTTCCTCATTCTACCACAAGTTTTTAAGATGAATAAATTTTTTTTTTTTTTGTATTTTTACCTCAATTATCAAAATGGAGGGAAATCCTGACTCCTGCTGTAGCCTGGTGAGACTTGAGGGCATTATGCGGAGTGAGATACGCCAGACACTAAAGGATTATACTCTGATTCATTCTCCTTTTATGAAGTACCTAGAATGGTCAAATTTTACAGACAAATAGACTAGAGGTTTCCAGCTGTTGGGAGATGGGGAGAACGGGGAGCTGTTTAATGGGTACAGAGTTTCAGTTTTACAAGATGAAAGGAGTTCTGGAGAGGGATGGTGGAGAGAATGAGTAATTCAGTAGAGTGAATATAATTAATACCTCTGAGCTGTCCAGTTAAAATGGTAGAGGTGATAGATTTTCCTCATTCTACCACAAGTTTTTAAGATGAATAAATTTTTTTTTTTTTTGTATTTTTACCTCAATTAAGAAAAGAAGATAGGATGATGGCATGATTTGTAATTAAGAGTCTCTTCATAGAACCATGAAGCTTCCTAGGGTCAGGGAACTTGTCATTTTCATCTTTGCTCCTTGGAAAATGGCATCGCAGAAGGGGTGCTGAGGGACAGCCAGCTGTGAGGGTGGGCATGCAGTGCGTAGGTGAGAAGAAGCCTGGAACAAAAGACACAACTCCATGACCTAGATGTAAGTCTTACATACCTTAACAACTCTTTTTATTTCTACTTCTTTTTTTCTATGAGAGAGAGACAGGTACCCCAAGCTCGGTCTTCACGCCACTATCGCCCCAGCCTCGGGGAGCCTGGATTATGGGTACAGGCGTGCCCGTCATGCTCAGTGAGAGCCCAGGATGCAAACCCAGGAGCTTCTCCATGTGTGTCCAGTGGTACTTCCACCAACCCAGGACAGGACCCGCTCCTTTAAACCCTTTCCACCCAGACCCATGCAATAAACTGTGGCTATAACTGAATGAACGATGCCCTGGGGCTGTAAAAGAATAAATGTACAATCTAATGCCGGCCAGATCCCTATGGAATAGCTTTAGGAAGCCCCATGACTCTTCATTATTTGCAGTGTCCTTGTAGGTGTAGAAATGGTGAGGGCCACCGTGCAGGCAGGACATGAGCTTCAGCTCTTAATGAAAGCAGTGTCTTCCAAATTCTGTTCCCAATCGCATGGGAAGGGATGTTTGCTTCTTCTCAAACACCGTGTTCATCAGTCTTACGTTATAAATGTAATTTCTGTTAATTTGCACATGTCTTCAATTTCCCTTGACACCATTAAATACGAATTCTCTACGAAACTCTGTTGAAGGGACCAGCAGTTGGCCTAAAGACTATGTTACTCTACTCCCATATAGTCGACCGCGGTTCGAGTCCCTGACCCGGTGGCTTAAACTCAACGCCTGGCGTGCATGCGTACGTGCTCAAAATCCTGAGAGGAGAATGGAAGAGAAGGGGTTGCTGTGGGGCCATCCCTCCATGAGGGGTGATGTCTCTCTTTCTGTCTCTTTCTCTCTTTCTTTCTTTCGAGCGCACATGCCCTATAGCGAAAACCTCTCAAGAAAACAAAAACAAAACCCAAAAACAAACAAGAAGTAAACTTTTAAGAATTTAGGAAACATTTGTATTGTCTCATCCTAAAAGTTCCAAGTCATAGGTTTATCTGAGATTCAAAAATGCTGACGGTAAATCAAATTTGAAAAGTGAATTGTATAACAGCAATAACTTGACTTTTTTTTTTTTTTTTTTTTTTTGCTATAGGGCACACGTGCTCACCGGAGAGACACAGAGAGGAAAATGAGAAATTACCACTCGGGGGGATGGAAATCATCCCCCAGAGGGGATGGTCACGCTGCAATCCCTTCTCCTACATTGTCCTCTAGGGATCTTGGGCACGCACACACACGCGCCCGGCGTGAGTTTTAAGCCACCGGGTCCAGGATGTGGGAGTCCACCGCGGTCAACTATGTGGGAGTCCAGTGACATAGCCATTATGCTAACTGCTGGCTTCCATAACTTGACTTTTGATGTGTGTCTCAGCCTGTTCACTCTCACCGCTAGCCCTGTTCATGTATTTAGAGACTGTCCCCGGGTAGCAGAGTCAGAAGGTGCTTTCCCTCTTAACTGTGCATGTCCAGGTTTCATCCCTAACTGTCCCCAGCCGCCAGGGTTCCAGGCCAGCCCTTTGGTGTTGGGTCTCATGTGCCGACATAGCAGGATGGCATTTCACTCTCTTTCCATATTTTCCTCTGCTCTGACTCCTGGAAGTTGTAGTAAATAGAAGAGTGTAATGGGTGGTGGGATCACCAGTTGGCATAACAGTTACGTCACTAGACTCCTACCTAGTTGACCATGGTTCAAATCCCAGACCTGGGAGCTGAAACTCATACCAGGTGCGTGTACATGCATGCCCAAGATCCTGAGAGGAGAATGGAAAAGGGATTGTGGTGTGGCCATCTCCCTTGGGGTGTGATTTCTTACTTTCTGTCTTTCTGGACATGCATGTGCCCTGTAGCAAAAAGCTCTCCAACAAAAGAAAAGAGAGAGAGAGAAATGTAATAGGTGTATGCAGGTTTCCAATTCACGGTAGAAACAGCAAGTAAAAAGAAAGATCCCAAATAAGGTAAATAGCACCCCGGGCTTCCTGGTTATTTGGATTCTAAATAAACACTGGCTGCAGTTTCCATAGATGACTTTTTGTCATTGATTTAATCATTTTAGAGAGTACTGGGCCATTTTAAAGTATTTTCTATTTTCTAGCAATAGAGGTAGGTTTGTTTTAGTGTTTTTTTTTTTTTTTTTTTTCCCTTGCTCAGAGCTATTGCTTGGATAATACATTTCCGTAGATGTGTACTAGACCTTGCTATAATGTGCAAAAAGATCAGCTTCCTACATCTTCTCCTTTTTTTACATAATATTTTCCCTGGAAGCCCTCCCTTCGGGCCATGATTGTCACAGTTGTCCTCTAGCCTTCTAATTCTGGCTGCTCAGACTGGTGTCTGGACCTTCTGGAATTTGCTGGAAATTTTGCTGGGCGCTCAGTCCCACTCGGCTCCACAGAGGCAGAATTACATGTGAACGAGACCCCCAGCAGAGTTCTCTCTCCCCCATAAGCATTTTTGATGACTGATAAGCCATGATTTTTAAGAAATTTCCTTTGGCAACTTGATCTTGAGCTCACGAATTATCCCAGCCCCTCTAGTGAGCATAAGTCCTGGGTCGATTACTCCACACTGCAGGTTTTTTCACTTTTATGTTCTACAAATCTTGAATTTGTGTTTTAGGTAGGACATCCATAATGTGAGAAATCCAAAATGCTCCCCAGTCTGAAACTTTCTGAAGTTTC